TCCATGTTGAAAGAATCCATTTAAAAGTGTCATACATAAGTAACTAACACCAGGAGTTTTCAACTTGACCAGATGAATGTGAGAGGGGATAAAGATGATCAAACAAGGTATGAAAACTCTCCAAAAACTGTAACAGTTAAGTGAACAAGGTGCAAAAATCTAAACTGTTAGTTGTCTCAAAAGCTTTATTGTCAGCTTCAACAAATCATAAACAGTACATGTGTTTTACTCAGATACATCTTGAGATTTGCAGCTAAATTATCCAAAAAGTACCTCTACTTGATGTTTCCCTTTGTTTTAATGATATAAAGATGGGACACCACAGCTGGGGATGACTAAAGCTATAACAGAGCTCTCCCAACAGTGTAAGGCTGTTCCAATACAGGGCCATCCTGACTGCTTCTGTGCTCTGGACCTTCAGCAGCAGCATACGTGAAGAATCAGGCAGCACAGACAGACTTTATAGCCATGGCATCATCTCACAAAATCACAAAATTACCTATGAGCTAAAGATTATGGCTGTGTTGTGATTTCAGCTTTATAGGTAAAATGACCACTTAGAAACAGCAGCATGTCACTCACTGAACAGTACAGCGAGAGTATTGCCACTCCCAGAGCAGAAATTTTGCAGGGGAGAAAGAACTCAAATCACAAAGCGGTAATATACAGTACTGTAGATTAGGACTTTAATTAATAGTTTCAATTGTATTAAATATTTAAAAAGGCATTCAACTGTGAAAATGTGTATTCAATTCTAATTTTAAAAAATGTCTCTCTGTGGATCATCACAGAATGCAAAAAATGTCCACCTGCTCTACTGTATACAAAGTCTTATGTGGCATAAATGCACATCACTGAAGAAGTGAATGATTTAACCTACCAAAATTAGGGAACATACGCTATATGAACAAAAGTACTAACCTACCTGCTCAGCCATAGATACCCACATAACGAAGCTCCTGGCACAGTTTTTGTGCTGATGTTAATGACAGGGGAGGTGGGAAACTCTGTAGTTATCTTACAGAGGAAAGAATCACTGTTGTTTGTCACAGCAGAGCTCTTTCAGGGTGTCGAACTTTTGTTCTGTAAAACTTTAACTGTAAAACTCAACAATAAACTGGACTGGACTACAAATACAGACATCCTGTATAAGAAGGGCCAGAGTCGACTCCACCTGCTGAGGAGACTGAAGTCCTTCAGAGTCTGCAGTTAAGGACATTCTATGACACTGTGGTAGCATCTGCCCTTTTCTATGCAGTGGCCTGCTGGGGGAGTGGATGCACGGACAGGGACAGGAGCAGGATTGACAAACTGGTGCGGAGGTCTAGCTCCGTGCTGGGATGTCCCCTGTAGTCTGTGGAGGTGGTTGGCGATAGGAGGATGTTAGTAAAGCTGACATCCATCATGAACAACCCACATCACCCACTGCATGAGTATGTGAGTGGGCTGAGCAGCTCCTTTAGTCAGAGACTGAAACACCCTCGCTGCAGGAAGGAGCGCTTTCGCAGATCATTCATCCCAACAGCAGTTAGACTCTATAACTCTATAACTAATTTCCCCGTTGTGGGATTAATAAAGTCTTATCTTATCTTATCTTATCTTTGTGGATACAATGCAAATGATTCAAACCTGCATTGGTTTTTTAAGAAATAACCAAACATGATTCCTTTCTAACTTTTTAATAATAACTGTCTATACATTTTTCTCAAGGTGCTATTCTAGCTACAAAGAAATAATAACATGAAGTCAAGCATGATGATTCCTGCTGTGAGTGAGAGGGATGAAAGGCACCCAAGCTGACATGGTGCAGATTTTTGTTTAATAGTTATGAACAAAAAATGTATCCAAATCGTGAAATTGAATACCTAGACATCCAGACAGAAAACAATGATGCCAAAAAAAATCTATCAAATGATTCAATCTCAAAGTTTAAAAAATTTGTTTAAACAGATGACAAGTAGATCTAGCTTTTCCAAGACTGTCAGGTGAACCTTATGAGTGTCTCTACTTCAGTCATGTATACTGAACAAACAACAGAGGGAGCTGATATATTGCAATGACCTCACAATACGCACAACACAATTTTAATCAAGCAGTAGGCGATGCTGAAGCCTGTACACACAAGCACGATGCGCCCCCCACACACACCATTCATATAAATGCTCCGGAAAACACCCACTTTTTTTACAAACACCGCTACACTTCAACTGCACACACACGCGTGCTCTCTTGCTCCCCGTCTCCCTTTCTCACACACACCCACAGCCAAACATGCACACAGCAAATCAGCATGAATAAATAAGAGATGGAGTTGTGCTCACAGCCTAATCTCTCAGGGAAAAAAAACAAAACAAAAAAAAACAGCTCGCCACACATCAGCCCAGGCGAGTGAGTGGGACACTGCTGGCTTCCAGAAAACCAATTTGTTAGTTTATTGTCTTGGTGTTTAGTCTGTGGTTACAGTTCATTTCAGCCAGCCCATCCCAGGCATGCACCTTTAAATAGCATCTATAAAACATGGGATGTGCTGTCCTCTTGTCCTCCTCCTCCTCCACTGTACATGACAGAGCTGCATGCAAGCGTCACAATGCTGCACTTCGTTCGCTATGGTGGTGCTTTGAATTTCCCTTTAAACACCCGATGGATTCACCCCAGCAGCTCGAGCTGGCGCTTTGATAGGTGGAACAAACTGTGCTTTCTAAACACATTAGCCTATGGACACCGCTGAGCACCGAATCTTGAGGTGCTGAAATCGGGTGTAATCATGTAGATAGATGGCTGACTTTTTATTGTTCCGCTAAACCAAATCTGCAGGGCTGGTGGTGAATAGAGAATGTGTGGAATGATGCAATACCCCAGATTTTATGGTTAAGTCGTGGTGCTGCTCTGCAATGCTCTCGGTGTCAAAGCACTGGGCTGTCAAATGTATATGTAACGTGCACATGCGGACATGCTTGACATGCTCAAACATCAGGAAATGCAAAAAAATAGAAGATGTGCAGTACAAACAGGCAATCTTAATTGTACAACTACACAACACATGTACGAGGTGAAAAAACAATACAATGCTTGTATTATTTTGTCTCATGCCTTCAAACACAATCCGCACTCTTCTATTATGCCCTATTGATCTGACAGAGTGAGCAGGAAGCTGGCAGAGAACACAAATACTGCCTGGGGTGGCTCCTTAAAACTAGACACAAGCCTCTTATCCATGGTGTTCTCTTCCTCTGGAAATCACCTGGTGGCTCATGCATATCAAGTACTCTCTCCAAGCCTCAGTCTATACTCTGCCTTTTTCAGGCACTGTTGTTTGTTGCAATGTCTGTCTAATGGTAGCTTTATAGAAATTGCAGGCTAATCTGTCTTACCTGTACAAGCTACTTATTTGGCATTACTAAAGTGTGTTTTGTTGCATACCAACGGCGCGTGTTCGTTTCACCACTTGTTAGAGTACTCTGTGCAGATGTGAAGTAAGCCAATGTTATGGTGAACGTGACTTCATAACAAATCCCCACTTTTTTTTCTTCATCTCCTTCTTTCTTTTTTACAACTACCACTGCAGAGCGAGCAAATCTTTTTCTTCCAAGTTTCCAGTTTACTGTCAAATACAGTGGAACTGTCACAGGGATCCCATCTCCCTTAATCCCACGGTGGCCTTTGCTCTGCCTGTCAGCATTACCAGCCAATAACGCTGCACAATAAAACCCTCCAGAACAACAGTGGGCCGCAGGCAGCTTCAAGGGCTACTGACGGCGATCTATAAAACAATATAATGGGTTGCCTGTCAGTGAGTGTGAAAGGGAAGATCTACACCTCCTCTGACTCTCTGAGGGGACTTCAATTAATCACAGCAGAATTGTATCACCCCGCAATAGGAGTGTAAGGTTATTACCATCCCCATATTCTGCAGGATGAAATGCGATGATAGCACTAATTGAGGGGAAGAAAAAAAAAGCTGACCACACAACACTTGTCAAGAGGATGAAGGGCAAATGAAAGAACAAGGTGAACAAGTAGATAGACTGAGGTGGATTTTTTTTTAAAAAGGAGAGCGTATGAAACAAATTAGGAGAGGGAGAGTGGAAAGTCAAGGCTGCAAGAAAGGAATATATTCACAGTGGCGTGCAGGCATAATAATAAATATCTACAGTCTGCGTGCAACAGCTGACACCAAACACATGAGCCAGTTCTCATTAGGGACTCCTTCTGCGTGTTTGCAATATAATACAATGAGATAACGCCACTGTACTTTGCTGAAGTCACAAACAAGCTGTTTATAGCTGGAGCTGCTTTTCTCTTATGTTGGGGTTAAAGGGAAGCACACTTGCACCTGCTGTGAATTCAGCTCTACATTTAACTTTGCACTGCAGGGAGCAACGTTTATGTTTTAGAGTTACCTTTGCCAAAGTACCAGTGATGTGGAATATGGAGATTTGGGGGTCCGAGATAGATAGATAGATAGATAGATAGATAGATAGATAGATAGATAGATAGATAGATAGATAGATAGATAGATAGATAGATACTACTTAAAACAGTAGCATGTTGCTTGCATACATTTTCACATAGAAGGGAGTTCCTTTCGTGCCTTTTGTGCACATGGGCAGATCTCTCAGAGGGGAAACTTTTTTGTCCAACCGGAACTGTCAGTGATGGATTCATGTTGATGCCCACATCTAATATTCACTGAATCTTGAGAACATAAAGTTGAACATTTGCCAGCCTGCGGCTACACCTGTACGCCACCTAAAGTCATGAGTTTCCAGTAGCCCATTGCTGCCTGATGATTTGTAAAAAGCTATTTATCATAGTCAATCGTAGATTTTGCTGCCATTTCACAGTCGCACATGAGTTGTTAAGCATTAGAAATTCAGAATATTAATTGCAATCATTTATAGAGAGATAGATAGATATACATATAGATATATAAATATACATATATAGTATCCACTTCCACAGATAGGAATAACAAATTATAAACTCTAATTCCAACCTACCTGCCGTTGTTCTTTCAGTTAATCCCGGGAACTGTCCCTTTCATTTATTCTCCATTGCCAGCCACAAAAAAACGGAAGCCTCTTCTTTAGGCAAATGGCATTTCCTTGTCGCTACAAGACGCCCTGGACAACACATAACCTAAAACACTGGTCTAATGTTAAGCTCTCCAGACGCACAATCCCTGAGAGAAATGAGTCTAAAGTGGGGCTGCTGGATACTTGGAGGCGGTGGACTTGAAAGTCTATAAAAGTTACTGGTCCTCCGCCTCTGACTCACAACTTCCCATCCGCCAGAGCTCCACGGCAGCTGGACAACACGCCGGACCGTCACTCATACTTTCTGAATTCAAGGATGCAGTGGATTTTTACAATCCCCCTTCAACATACTGGTTGCAGATGGGTGTTTGGCAACGTTTTCTCGCAGTTGGAGAAATGGATCTGAGCTGTCCGAGTGATGAGAGAGCAGCCGGATTCATCACAGCGCGTGTGGAGCCTCCTGATGCAGCGCTGGTGTTTTAGCGCCATCCAGCGGTTCTGTTGGATTGAAGTCTCCGGTGGCGACGGGGAGGACCTTTATCAGAAAGCTTCAGACGTTGGTAACTGGATGGTCGTGCCCTCTTGAATGCAGCAGTAGCGAGCAAACTACAGCAATGAAATAAAAACTGAATCAGATGAGTCACTAATTACGCCAGTGCCACTTGCAGCCATTTGTTTGCAGCTTTTTATGCTGATTGGTTTATTTAAGATGTTTTATCGAAAGGATGTTTTTATAGTAAGGCATATTTCATATTGAGACACAACCAGTTTATCATGCCGCATGATTTTAGAAGATGCGCTTTGAGCTATTTTCGGTCAGTGGGTGGACCCAAGAAAAGATTTAGGGACTGTGTGAAAATTTTTTGAAGTGAAGAAGTATTACATATATTTTAATACTTTTATTTTAATATAGACTTAAGATCTTCAGTTATGAAGAAATGGCAATAAGCTCCCTAACATCTTGTAAACAGTGGTGCCAGTAGGCCTCAATGATGGCAATTTAAGCACTCGATACTTTTATTAATGACAACTTTGAACAATTTATTATTTATCCACTTTTCCTCCATGAGTTTCAGAGCTGTGAATAAATTATTGTTAAAAAAAATAGGAAAATTAAATTCTCTTCCTTTAAGGTCTGATGTTGTCCTGCGATGTCACCTGACTTTCTTTCTTATGTTCTTCCTTTTATTCTTAAAAAAAGAGGGTGAATAGGCTACTGAAATCTTCATTAGAGCCACTAAATGCAAGTGAACACAAAAAAGGAAGACAGCTGTGTGCTGAAGGGTTTTTCACACCTCTGTGAAACACATGAACACCATCTTTTGTTGTAACCTAGAAGATTTCTTCTTTCTAAAAAAGTCCAAAATAGAATCAGAGGATAAGAACAAGATGAAGCGCCTCCTCAGTTCTCACAAAAAAGACTCCCCTCTTATCAAAACCCCTTCCCTTACCCTATCCAAACACACCACCCACACATACAATTGGTGCGAACGAGCCACTCTGAAGAACTTCAGCGTTATGACATGAATTAGGCTCGTGAATACTCATCGAGTTTACGATAACACATTTTTGTGTCTTTGACATTCAGCTTCCACTCTCCCCATGCATTAGTGTCCAGGCTACAAAAGCCTCCCCTCCTTTAATTTCATTATCATCTCTCCATTTCTCAAGCATGCTCTTTCGCCGGCCCCCCCTGAATGGCAAGAATGGGTGGAATAATCAATACCAACCTTTGAAATAGCCTGTAGGAGATGGGATGCAAGCATTTGGACTTGTATTTGATTGATTTTGGACCGCCCTCCGAGAGTGTTGTCATCATGAAGCCAAAGCCATCTACTTCACAGAAGACTCCATAAACACCAGCACAAAAGCACAAAGTAAAATCAAAGGGCACTACACACAAAAACCCATGGATAGTGTACAAGAAAAATGTCATACCATTATCACTGCCGAGCTATAAAATTCAACCCAGATAGTGTATGTAGACCAGAGACAGGCTTCGCATCGCTTCATAACTGAATATAAATAGAGGAGCTGTTATTTTGATTCTGTGTGCGTCATTTATATCATATAATTTCTAAAGTCATCAAGTTTCTTTCCTCCTCAAGCTGCGTTTCTCACACACATTGAAGGAGGAGATGGCCTCATTAATCTTCTATGCATTGTATAGACCTATCCTGTCACACCTCTGCCACTGTAGTTTGTGACACGGCTTCGCTCATTAAATCATATGACAGGATGAGGTCAGCCGGGAGGTAAGGTGTCTCAAGCTGTGTGAGAGCAGATAAAGCCAGCAGTGTGAGCCTTTGTTAGGGAGCTCTACAACAAATGTACTGCAGGTGGGAGCTGAGGTGACTCATGAGGTAAATTGCAGTTAGTGAGAATTTGGCATCAAAATCTAATAACAGTCTCTGGTTTTGTCTCTTTGAGGTCAAAACACACGGAGAAACGGATATCTGCTGCACTTGAGCTGTCATGTGATTTGCAACCTCTCTGAGGAAGCCTGACTACCTTTTTAGGTCTTGTTACTGTAGGTGGCACCTTGCATAACCCCAATCATCCCATGCTTGTCATGCTGCGATTATTTTCAGTTGTGGAGGCTTCGTGGTTCGACACTGATTGTGGTGGTTCAGCTTAAAATAAAAGCAACCTGCGGGGAACAGTGCAAGCACTCTGCCTGAACCCTCGCTCTCTTTCAGCACGAAAGTGTGTTTGAAGACAGTGAGATGTCTACCAGAAAATTGCAAGGGAAAAAATAGGAGGCATTACGGCCTCGGGAATGGAGCTCTCCATCAATAATGCAGCGGAAGCAGCAGTTAATGCCCCCTTTAATTCAACAGGTCTGCAGACAACGACACAGTTATTCTTCCTCAAGTGCTGATGCTCGATGAGCGGCAGCTACCTTAGGCTTTATGGCTTTGTGTGGTTTCTCTGCCAGGTCTTTCCCCTGACCTCAATCGCAATTGCTGAGCCTTTGATGGGTTTTCATCAGTGGCTCCTGCTAATGGAGTTTCCAACTTCACTAACTCTCTCAGATCCCGATAGTGCACTGCTGCAACAACAAAGGAATAATGTCCACATAAAGTCAAAATATATGAGCTCAATTTAAAGTGAACAGTGAGTGTACACCTTTTAGAAACAAAAACAGGGCAGTGTCAAATCACAGTGTTACACAGCTTTATCGTCTAGGTCAGTTCTGAAAGAAGCAAAGCTATCTTGTAGATGGCAAGTGTATCAAAAGTCTTTTGCTTTGAGGTTTTGGCTTTTTAGAGATTACCGAAACTTTACTGAGCAAAAATTAATTGCAGACTGGTTTTTAACGACTTCAAAGAGAAGTGAAAGTAGCACATTTATAAACTCTGACTCAAGCTTTTTTTCTCTCAGGAACTTCAGATTCTTTCCTTATAGGGGTGTCATTATGTTCATTTCTACTTCAGTGTTTTTGTTATTGGAAACTGCTAGAGTAGCTTTTCCGCATTCACAGTTTTTTTTCACCCATTTCATACTGTCTGATTTAATGTCTGAAATGTGCCATTCCCTCCATCCTTTCTTTAAACTTTATTCTCAATGACTGCCCTCGAAGCACCAGCTTTAATGACAGGTAGGTGAAGGTGCTGTGTGCATGACAATATTAGGGATATTTGCCCCGACGGTCATCACATAGAGCCAAGAATAGAAAAACTGCTTGACTAGAAGCATTGAGCAATGCAGCCTGAGCTTCAGGCTCATAGTGATTACTTAGCACATCATCATATGCTGGCCTTAAAATTTGCTACTTATAAATGAAAGTATTGCATTCAAAATCATTCTTATATGAAGCGGTTAGTATTACGGACAAATGTTTATACACTTCAAAAGTACCTCTTCTGCTGAAAAACATATTGTATGAGAAGATTCGATTTTTTTAAACCTGTAAAATCTCTTTTTCAAGAGTGTCCTGGCCAATGAGAACAGCAGTACAATCATAAGTTGCTTGAAGTAACTGCATCCAAGTCATTTAAAAGTCATTTATTCCTTAAATTCAATATGTGACAGACCAGTTCCTTGAGTTTTAGTTGTAGCTGCTGAATGCAGGAGGCAGGAGCTTCAAATTTAAACACAACTTTTCCAAAATCAGTTTGAAGTTTTGGGAGAGACCGAATGAATTAAATCTGGTACCTGAGATAATAACCTTTTTGATTAACATAATATCTGAATGTAAGGCTGTAAATAAGATGAAACCAAACCAAAATTAGCTTCAAAAAACAAATACACCAGTGGTCTCAGTGTATGACATAAGAACGCACACCACCCAAACCACAAGATACTTATAAATACTTTGTAATTTGTAATGAATCTCATTGGTCCACAATAGACAGAATCCAATATATATTACTATTTTGAGGACACATGAATATAAATCACATCAACATAATCAAGTACAGACATAAAAGTGGAAACAACATTTCTCGTTTTTTTTGCCTCAAAGGACAAAAAGGACTTTATTTTAAAGTTTAAAAAAAATATTAATGTTTATGTACTGGAAATACTCAGCAACAGAAACTACAAACAACTCGCAAGAATCTGAAACAGGTTAACTGCATTTATGTAATCATTTGTTATTATTAATCTCTGGCTCTCTTCCACAGCGTCTCTTTGACTTGTCTTCCTCACCTCACCCCAACCAGTCACAGCAGATGGCTGCTCCTCCCTGAGCCTGGTTCTGCTGGAAGTTTCTTCCTGTCAAAAGGGACTATTGTATTGTATTATTATTGTCTCTGTTGTTGCACGATCTCTACCTTACAATATAAGTGCCTTGGGGCAACTGTTGTTGGGAACTGGTGCCGTATAAATAAACTTTAACTGAATTGAATTTCAAGTGCATCAGGTACCATTTAACATAAAAGCATAGTTTGTAAAGTAGCTATGGAGAAGCAGAAGTACAGCGTTCTTCAGAAATTATACGAAGGAGGAGGTAAAAGTATAAAAAAAATGGAAAATCTTTACTAAATTTAGCTGTCAAATAAAGCTGCACTAAAACAAAATGTAAAAGAAAATTAAAATATTATTACACTTTAAAATTTACATAGGAATATTATATTGAAGTCGTAATTTTAGTCTTTCCTCCTCTTCCCGTGATACGGACGAGTGAGCCAGTACCTGAGTAAAATAAGCAGGCGTATTTTCCTTCAGTTCCTCCTTATTCAAACCAAAACGTTAGACAAGACAAGATGAAAACCTTGCTTAAATCAAAAATTTGCAGTGTGGATCTGATTGAAAAGAATTTATTTTGCATTGTCACACAATGAAATATGAACCTTAGATGTCTAATATTTCTTAGTCTTGTTTTGTGTCCTGATAATCTGCATATCAACTGTTTACTTTCACCAGAGTTTTAAAATGGGGCCAGTGTCTGCACTATCACCACATACACACTCGCAGGCAAACACTCAGAAAGCTAGAGTAATCATGGAGAGAAATTCTCCCGTCATTTCACTGTTTCCGTTGGATTCTGAGCAGTCTGCCTCAGCG